GACACTAGATTTTTTAAGTTACAGAAAGCAAGGAAACACTAGAAATATGCTCTTTCTGAATTCTGAATTACCAAAGGTCTCAATAAATCTTGGAATTCTGTAATGAAATATTGACTGCTCTTTCTTTAAACCCACATCTAATAAATAGCAAAAAAGGATTTCAAATGTCTTTACTTTGTCTTTCATATGGTCAGTGGGACAAGTTGACCTAACGGTCTTTTGTCAGTTTTACCTAAAACATATCTTTCAGAAAGGTGGAGCCAGAAAGTGCTCAGGTGGGATTACTTGTTGAGGAAAGAAAGGAAGAGACAGCTTCATCCATGCACAGATGGTTTACCAAGGCTTCCTATATAAGTTTTCAGAATGTACCATCTGTTAAACACAAGGATGACCAGAAAGTCCTAACTGATTAGCCTTTGCCCAAAGAAAAATCTCTTTTTTTATTTATTACCATTTATTTTACTTTTACAAGTCATTATAAATTAAAGGTCTAATATTTTTTAACCTGTCTAAGAAAACATCTAACATACCAGCTTAGACTAAGTCATCTTTTCTATGATATTTATTACCTGCAAGTAGGCCCAATTTTCATTGCCCAAAAAATAGTATTATAGGGTTTGAAAAAAAATATGTGCTGTTTTGCCTGGGTGCTAAAAGCATCACCAATAATTTTGATTAACGTGTCTTGACACTGAATGCATTAACCATACAATATTCTTCTTGCTTAAAGGCTAATTAGAATTCAAGTCAGTGTGATACCTGCTTTTGAGGATTATGGCAGCAACATTTGTTGTAATAAGAACCTCTAGGCAGCCTGTTTTGGTTGTGATGGATTTATAAAATTATTAAGGAGGGGAAAAAAAGAATGAGAAAGTAGAGTCTCTCCTTAAAACACTTATTTCCCTTAAGGATCAAATTTGAGTATAAATTAAAACATCTTGGTGGCTTTGTTGAAAATGAACTACAATAGCAGATTTCAAATTCAGAAAACATACATTTCTGATTTTAAAAAGCAGGATTGCCTCATGAAAGACATTCATTATATTTACTGAGAATTTCATGATGCCTACTAAAAGGCTCTGATTTCTGGATGTATGAGTTTCCTAATTGGACTCTCAAATTACTCCACTTTTCAGATGGAGTTTATACAAGCAGGAAATAATTAGAAGTAACAATAATCCAGCATCATCTTTTAAACTAGTATTTCTTCTTTTTTACTTTTAGGAATTTATGTTCTATAGCACATCCAAAAATATTTTTTGGAAGTACTTTTTCCTCTGTTATTATAAGATAAAGGGAAGTTTTTTTTTCTTTGCTACTTTTAAAATGGGACTTTATGTCTTTGAGGATGGACCTTCATCTCCAATAGCTGTAGAAGATACCTTTCAGTTAGGTTACTGAATGCTATGCTTAATCCTAACTGCACCAAAGTCAATTTCTTGGCCATCTGTAAGGTCAGAGTCTGTAATATCTCACATCAAGACTGATTTTATAGAGACACAGAATGAAGAGTGAGTTATGATCACAAGACCACACCAATCCTCAGATTCTAGACCTGAAGGTCAAATCTTCACTCAGCCAAAGTAAAAACATTAAACTGTAAGAATTTTATGGCCATGTACATGATTGTTCTGATTTGAAATAGGTTTTACTGTATTGTATCTCCCATGCCATGTTTTATTTTTCTAATTTAATTTTTGGGTGAGATAAATTAGTGGTGTATATTGCAAGGGAAAAAAATCACTGGAAAACAGTCTTGGCAGAAAATGGTGAAAAATAGCATTAGAAAAGGCCTGTGGCTGGGCATTGCTGGCCGGCAACATTCTGGCCCTGTGGCACAGGTCAGGTTTTCCTTTTGTTTCTTCTGTGAAAAGTTTCAGGAAATAGAGTTTCTTGTGACTTATCCTTCACCATTTGTCTGTGGAAAACACTTGGATAACAGAAGGGCAAGTGCTGTGATCTCATGGTCAGGAGATAAGGGCAATTCCGCCGTAAGACAGGGTCAGCGACGTCTTCACATTTTTTAAAATAGGTATAGACCAGAAATTTGGGAGCTTGTCCTTTTATGTGATATTAGAAAAGGTGAGTTCTGATGATTTTTACCCCTTAAAACTATTTGAAGACTCATTCATAAAACTAATTTCTGAGTTCAAGTCTTATTGCAGAAGATCCATGTCTGCACAGTACATTGTACATAATTTAATTTTCCCAGTTGAACATCTTGACACTATATGAACCATGAATGCGTGAAATAGAAATTCCAAATGCCTTCCACATGGCAAGTGGACTTTCCAGTGCGTGTACAGGAAGCTCCTGAGTAGCGTGAGATTAAGTTCTGCCTGTTCTCAGTGACTTGCATTATGTAGGCCCTTGGTATTAGCTCTTTGCCTTGAGTGGGACTCTGAGGTGACAGATAGATGAGTCTGCGGTCTGTATTTAGGTACTATGCTCATTTCCAGAGAGCCATGCAGGGCATGTGGCTGCTCATTAAGTTTCCAGCCATTCCCCGAGAGCAGCAGGTGGTGAAGCCAAGCTCCCCTGGTATGTCATGGCTGGCTTCCTCAATGTCTCAGCAATACCGAATGGTGTTTGCAAGCTCTCTGGGGCCCCAGCAGATAAGGAGGGGTGAATAGCAACAGGAAGTAGTTCCAAAGCATAAATAAACACTCAAGTCTAGGAAGATTAGGACTAATGTTCTTGCTTCCACACATTCTGCATCCACACACAGTCAATCCATCCTTTAAATCCTGCTATTCACTCAACCTATGAAATTCTGGTTAACTGTCCTATAGTTGGCTATATAGCAGAAGGAGGGTAAATTAAGGAAATAACAATATTCTAAGCTAGTGAAGTTATAGCATAAAATTTTAAACTTTTAGCTCCACAGGCATACAGTGAATACTAATGACCATAGGGAGTCCTTAAATTGGTTCCTTTTCAAAATTATTCAGCTATCCCCAGCACTTACTACACTACAAGGAAGGCATATCTCTCTTTAATTGCTGTGACATCACAAAGCTTATCAAAACAAAATAGAACCTATGATTTAAATTGAATGCTGGATCACTACTGAATAGTGCTTCATGTTCCTATAGAATAATATCTCTAGAAAGTAGAGAGAGGTTTTTTTTTTTTTTGTCAATTAAAAGCTTCTTTTTACTACACAAACATCAGAGATCCATGACCTCCACAGAGCATGCCCTGTGATTTCTTATGATGGCAAGAAAACAAGCACTCACAGAGGAAGGAAGTCAACAACAACCCTCCGAACCTGAAGAAGTTCAGGACATTTGGATGAGCCCTAGAGGACTAGGGAAGCACCATGGGCCCAACGGGGCATTTTGCAGGGAGGAAATATAACCTTGAGACATGGCAATGATAACAAGGCATAGTTATATAGTTATATATATATATGCTTTGGAAGGGAGAAATGAATGCCTATGCGCTCCCGTTTTCTCTCATCCAGCAAGTGCTTGAGCTCAGGGGCTGCAAAGCCGGGCATCTCCTATGGCTGAGCGTGCGCTAGCAGGGGCTCCTCTGACCCAAGGGCTTGCAGCAGAGGCCCAGTCCCAGCCCTTCCACCTGCCTCACTGTTAAAATGCCTTCCTGCTGATTTATAATGACACTAGATTCTTTTTAATTAATCCTGAATATCGCTTTCTTAAATTCATCCAAAAAATTTATGATCTCCTAATCATTTATAAAAAGTTGTCATTTTTAGTATGTGGAAGTTGCTAAGGCACTACCATAAATTAACTCTGCAATATGAAATCCATTATTAATTTATGGAGTTATTCTGGTTCTGTAGCAGATGATAAGGAAGTATCTTTGACTGCTTAGCAAGTGGGTGCCATACAGGGTACTTCCCACTGGACAAACAAAGACTAAAACTATTTGAAAAGGACACATCTGAAATTTCTTGATACCACTCAGGAAACATCCAACAAAAATCTCTTGAGTGTTCACCTGGTGGACATAGCTTTCTCGTTTAGTTATACCAAATGTACTCATAAAATATTATATATAATACCATACGATCTCTGCAAACTTAATTCAATAGTACCTTGGTTCACAAACATGACTCTTCACACAACTGCAGTTGCAACTGAATTCCTGGCATATATGCATTGTAATTTAATACTTCTAAAATTATTTAACATATCCTAAGCAGAAATTTCATAAAATAATACACAGAACCCTCACACTGAAAGTAGGAATATTAATTTCAGATTGGATCAATGTATACCAGAGATTGATTTAAAACTTTATAAGATGAGAACAACGTCAGAAAAAAACATGTTATGTTACCTTATCAAATAGTTCTGGAACACATATTGACATTTTAAATAAGGAGTTGATTTTAAGAAATTTTTAAGTCTTGTCAGTTGCTGTGTAAACATATTAAACAATTTTTAAAGATGTTCTTAACACTTTTATAGGTAGTTAAAAATATTTAAAACAATGATTTTTTGAAAAACAATTATTTCAAAAGATGCATAGAAATTTTATGAGGACAATATATGTGTCAAATTAAAACATTTTAGAAATGGCTTATACTCTATGGTAAGAATTATTGACAGGAAGGAGAAGCACAAATATTTTAGAGGGATTATTACAATGAGTGAAGCACAAAAACAGCTGCTTAAATATTTGATTTATAAGATTTGATTTATAGGATTTGATTATGTCAAAATCTGATGGGATCTTAATAAAATTAAAATATGAAGTAAATAATTTAGACTTTAAAAAATTGTGTAATTTCAAGTGAAGTCACATTTATAGTTATGTAAGGGATATAGTAGGCTAAGTGGAATATACAGTCCAGGTAGCAATGGGAAACTTTAAATGGCTATGCTTTATTTCATTAAAACAATAATTTATTGAGAAGGGTGGAAGGTATTTAAATAATCCTGTTTTCATTTTTTCCCTATTCCCTTCCAAGTTGGGTGTCTCTCACAATAAGAAATCTATGAAGCCAAGACTGTCGGTGCAGTATTTACCTTGATCCCCGGAAGTCCAGGAAGCCCAGGAAGCCCTGGTTCACCCTACATAGGAAAATCACACAGCATTATAGAAGGACACCCACTCAGTCACAGTTTCTGGAGAAAAACAGAGGCAAAGCTTCCTAGCTGAATTCTTTCTGCATATATAAATACACACAAGAAACTGCATAACTTCCCGAAGTTGAATGAGATTATGCAGTTCAGTCAACTTTCGATTCAGGGATTGGTTGACTACTTGGCAGCCATTCCAAGGTTTCTTCTTCTTCCTACCATTCACTGGTTGTTGCTACCACAGTATAAGAAAGAGGAGTAAAAGGAGAAGTAATGTCTATTGTATTTCTCCTTTGCTAAATGACTTGCCAGAGCTATATGCAGGAGTGAGGGTTTCTCCTGCACATCTCCAGTCTGCTCTCACCTCCGACAATCAAGAGTTAGCTGTATGAACAGATGGTCACATCAAGACTATATACATTAAAAGTACTGCTCACTTAAAAGGCAAGTGAGATTTCCTTTCCATTCCTGAATGATGAGAAGATAAGTAAATGGTGAAGATTATACTTAACTCCAGCCTGGGTTTCTGACAATTGTTGAGCCCGGGCAACATGCTTAGCAGCTCAGTCTAATGGTACCCTGCAGCTGTTCCCAAATACAGGTCTGAGATTAACTGGTGCATACTGAGGAGCACACTGGAGTCAGGCTAACCCTTCTCATTTTCACAGAATCATCTACATTATTTTAAGCACAAAGTATAGAGATGAGAGGTTACATTGCTTAGAAAATCTTCTGAATTCCACTGAAGAGGCATAAAGGAATTTCAGGACAATTGAAAGTTTGTCCTGGGCTGGTCAAGGCTATATTTGTGGAAATAATGCTTTAAAGGGTACAGAATCACACCATCTTATAATGGTCAGTGAGTGGACAACTACACTGGAGATAGGAATGGTAGTAAAGCAGAAGGTGGCTCTTTCAGGCTTTAACAACCCCCATTCCAAGGAAAATCTAAAAACAACCAGATTTTCCACCATTAATATTACTTGCAAATGATGCAGAGCTATAACTTGCTCTGATATTATCAAAAATGACTTCAGATAATAGCTTATAAAGCCCTATGATTAGACAAAAAAGGGAACAATGATTTTCTTGATGCTTTAGAATTTAGACTAAAGGTACTTCAGGAATGCAAAAGAAAAACTATTCTGTCCAAAACTATGTAAGTGGAAGTTTGCATTGGGAAGAAGAGTACAATGAGATTAAGCTAGAGAAGAAAAGACAATTGTTAAGAATTTATATTACATTCAAAGACTGCTTTCGCAAGTAGGTTAAAGTTTACACCATTACACTATTACAAATTTAATTTTTTCTTTCTCTTTCACCATTTAATCCATAAATTTAAGAGGACCTAGTAGAAAGATCTCATAAAATGCTATACTAAAAGAACTCTATTTCTTTAAAAAATACAAGGTCATTGAAAACAAGTTGTGGTGCAGTATACAACCAATAAAAGTGTGCATTGTTTTAGAACAACACTCCAACACTCACAGTGGAGATATGCAATCGGAAACATATGTGGAAACAACATAGGTCAAAACACTGTTTTCCAACAAGAATTCGCATCATTTTCTTCCCTCCTCATCAGCTTAGAAGAACGGTTTACTTTAAAGAAAGACAATTTCATATGCATCATGGATACTCATATATTTTGACAATGAGAAGATGTGTAAGACAGTATGGAATATTTTATAATGTGGGCTAAAGACAGAGGCTTTGGCATTTAATCTTTCTTTAAGTGTGTGTGTGTGTGTGTGTGTGTGTGTGTGTGTGTATAAGACATAAATGTGTTGCTTGGTAAAAAATTTTCAGAAATTCATATCCATATTCTCAAATTTCTATGAATTCAACTTTTCCAAATTTATATTTCCTTTGTGTACTAAATAAAATAATGAAAGATTATAACATATTAATGTTATCCTCTGTGGAACATCTGTTATCATTTTTAGGAAGACATTTCTTCCCATGTAACTCTTTCTTTTAACTTCCAGCTTAGAGACAGCCTTTGCGTCAGCCTCTGAACATCCTCTATGCCTCAAGAGCTTCGGGGAGCTGGGTTCTTTTGCATGTGCAGCCTGTGTGGAAGAGCTGGGCCATAGCTAAGAACTGGCTTGTTGATCTGTGCAAAGAAGACTTGTCCAAGAGATTCAGCTTTACAGAGATATATGGCATTATTAATTGTGTTTCTTTCCCTTTTGCTCTTCACTTTCTTGGGAGTGATCTACACAAAATCAGGACTGTTTCAATGCATGCTCCTGGTACAACAACCCAGACTTCTAGAGAGAGATCAATGGAGAGGCTCTTTTTTGATGGACCTCAAGTAATTTTACTTCTTGATACATACTAAGATATGTACTTCAAAAATATGTTATAGCACCATCCACCTCTAGAAAGAGCCCAGTGGTAAGGCTCTTTGAAGACAGACATGGACATCAATTGATTCGACTGCTCTAAAAACAGAATAAGATGTAGAGAAGTTAGGAGGATGGGCATGGTGGTGCATGCCTGTAATCCCAGCACTCAGGATGCTGAGATAGGAGGATCATTGGGAGTTCCAGGCCAGCCTGGGCTATACAGTGAGTCCAAGTCAACCTGGACTACATAGCAAGAGCCTGCCTCAAAAAGAGGAGGTGGAAGAGGAAGGAAAGGAGGAGGAGGAGGAGGAGTAAGAAGAAAGAGCTATTCGGAAAGAAAGAACTATGTGATGAAACACAGTGCTGTCTTATGGATCTACACATTTCCTTCATAAGCCCATCTAAGCATTCCAATTCATCTACCAATTATATGCTCTATTGCTAAATCTATACAAGAAAAAGGCCAGTGCTTTCATCCCTACACATCTTGAATATTATCTCTTCACAGCAAATCTTCACTCTGGAAAGAGTCACAATTACTGGTTTGTGTTGTATCAAAGTCATCTGAACCTTGCTGGAACTGTCCCTAGAGGAGTGGCTTCAGCACCCTGAAGCCTCAACACAATTCTGCATGACAGCAAAAACGTGAGGGTAGCCCTCAGTTCAACTCCACTCCATTCATTGTATTATTTTTCTCACTAACATGAGCAACAAGCAAGGAGATCCATTTCTTTCCTTGGAGTGTGGAACATCATCAATCACAGCAGTGGACAAAGGAAGTTGTATTACTGTGGGAAAAGTGAGACAGCATTAAAGGGTAGAATCTGGCCTGAATGTCAGTGATAAAGATGTTGCACATTTCAGGGCATCTGTTAACCTAGATGCATTATAAGTTCTTAAGTGAATTGACTCTCTTCTTTCAGTGTAATATAAAACTGATTCTTAAATGAAATACAAAAGAAATCTAATTTTACTCTGAATAAAGCTATAAACTTCCAGAATGAATCCAAATTGTTTTTCTAAAGAATCATGGCAAGGCAATGTTTTATTAAGCAATTGAAGATCGTTTTACTTCTTCCATTCTGAAATGAGTGGAACTGAAGATTATAGCAAAATTGTCTTGGCTTGTGTTTGAGAGACAAAATCTCATGGACTTGTTTCTTTGTAGCACATCACAGATTTGAAGAGAAATTTCAACACAGCTTTTAATTTTTAAAGACCAAAGGGCTTAACATGATATTACCTGAGATTAGTTATCTTTTCAAAGCAAACCAGACCATCAAGCTCATCAAGCTCTGACTATATAACTAAATTCAAACATCGTAAATAGAGACTGGAAAGGAATATTAGGAATTAAACTGGGCATGGTGACATATGCCTGTAATCCCAGCACTCAGGAGGTTGAGACAGGAGGAACTCTGCAAGTTCAAAACCAGCCGGGGGGCTACAAAAGTGAGCACAAGGCCAGCCTGAACTGTATAATGAGACCCTTCCAAAAAAACCCAAATATATATATAATTGTAAAATTTTCAAAGTTCTTGTGGGCTTTTGGGAAAGCTTCAACTTTACCTGGAACTGGGGCTGACAAAGAGTTTACTCTAGATTCTTAGTTTCAGGAGAAAATTGTGTCTTACAATTGGAGAAATATCAGTAGAATATGAAGGAATTCCTCAAAAATTATTTCCATACTCAGAACTGAAAACAACGCTTCCTCAGTGAGTTCAAGATTGCTTCAGACATGGCTTTACTGTTGGATGTCCCCCTCCTTCCTTTTGTGCGAACGTGGTACATTTTATCTTCCTGTTCCTATTTTTGCCTGTACGAGCAACTAACAGCTGAACAAAGGCCGAGTCATGATCTTAAGAGAGATTTAAGTTAATGTGAAATTCACGTTTCCTTGTTAGCTACTGTCCATCTGTTATCTGAAACCCGACTGCACGGGGCTCAGATGATAAACTGCGACACTTGTTTCCTGCCTCAGACTTGAATGCGAGTATGGATTGACACATACGCACTGCACGTAGTCTAGTGTGTTGCTGAAATGGAGCACAAATGAAAAATAAACTTAATGGAGCCACAGCTTGGTTAGTTAAGTTGGCATGGCTGGTGTTTTAACATTTAGTTTATTAACACATTTAGTTCATAAAACATAATACTCATGTCACAAGTAGAGTCAGAAATTATCAAGAAAGAAATGTTTTTGATAAAATGAAAAGGAACATAATTTTTAAAAATTGTTTATAACTCTCTGTTGAGACTGTATAGCAGATATTCATTTTTTCTCATGAAATACAGAAGGAACATGCAGGTTACCTTTAAGCATACAAGATAAGTTGTTGGCATTGCAACCCAGCTGACCTGTGTTAGGTCAAACAGCAGAGTACATGCAGGCTTTAGCTCAGAAAGCATCCTTTGACATGGAGAGAGTTTCTCTTCATATTTTTCTATGGTCACAAGTGAGATCTTTAATAATGTAAAACAGCTAGTAACACTCTATATGCAAAACATGAAAACTATATCACTTTGCAATAATCATTTTCATGCTATAACATGGATTTTAGAGGTAAAATGGTGACTGTGATACAGTACAGAGAACACACTGAAGGTAGAGAGGTTACCTTTTGCCCTGGGCGACCAGATTCTCCAGGTTCTCCCTGGCCAAAGAAAACAAAAGATGAGAAGGCAGTCTTAGGAAACTTTCCACTAAGCCTAGGCCTCCCTGAACTTTCAGAGATGAGCCAACCTTCTTGGTCACATTTGTTTTATTCGCTTTCCCTCCATCTCACTTGACAGAGGGACATTTTCCTAATGAATATACCTATAGCTCACATATGAATCCTCACTTCCATAAAACCAAGCCAGGAAGGAAGAGAAAGCCAGCCTTATTTAAAACCACCAGCTGCCTCCAGTAACCATGTTGTGCCTAGCAGACCATTATGGTAGAAGAATATGAACAGTGATGCTGCCAGGAGTATTGGAAAAGAGGAAGGGGAAGAAGAGCTTAGAAATTCAAAATTGTGAACTCTGTGGTACAAATACCTGCATGGTTATTACATACCTTGATTCCTGCAGCAGATGATCCAGGGTCACCCTAAAATAAAACCCATGAGAGATTATTCTAGAGAGCCATTAACCACAAGGATACTCAAAGGGGTGCCATGCCTAATGCCCCAAGTTTGCTTTGTAAGACTTTGCCCAGTCTGTCAGCTGTTAAGATGGCAATGACTTAGAAGACAAACAATGCACTTCTGCAAACATGGGTTCACTTTGAATGAATATATATATATATATATATATATATATATATATTCAGTAAGGAGTCTACAGGTTCTCACTACGTAGATCAGATGCATAATGATTCTCTGATTTTCAGCCTCCGAAGAGCTGGGATCACAGGTGTATGCCACCATGCCCAGTCTCAATCACTGTCTCAGCATGCCCTGTGGGTGGGGCCGGCACGGCATGCTGGGAATGGAATCCTGGTATTGTGCTCTGCTTTAGTCCACTGAGCAATCTGGCAAGCTCAGGACTATATTTTTTAAAATAAACATAAATGCTGTACATTGATCTCTGTGAAAAATGTATTTTGAAGCAATCATTTATAACTTAGGGATCTGCAACTCTTGTTTTTCTCCCAGAATTTGTTAATATCACTGGTCATCATTTTCAGGGAGCCCCTTAACCTTTCTGGTCTTCAGAAAACCAAAGTTCAACTGATGAAGTCAGAGGTTAATGATGTTGGGCTGGAAAGAGCAGACGGGCTTGTTTTCCTCATGAAGCACTGTCACAGAAGCGGCCCACAGGCCTTTCCCAGCTTTAAACTTATTTCATTGTAACTCAGTCACTGGGAAGTTAAAGATGATGGATGATGCCTGGGTGATGGGGACAGATGTAAACTCTAGAAGTCTTGGAACGGAATCTGCCTTTTCCAAAGGCATTGTATTCCACCCAGACTTCATAGAGAGTGACTCCACCTCAAAAGTAAATACCTTATAAATCAGCAGACAAAGACTAGGGGTGGGGGAAAGAATACAGAGGAGTAGAGAACATTGCTGATTTCTGAAATGAAGCCAGCAAAGGCCTAGACTTTCAAGCTCCTTCTAGGCCTCTCTGTCCCATGAACATGAGCAAATAAAAAAACTTATGTCATCTGAGACTCAAGAAAATTGGAACAGCCAGGGAGAAGAGTGCACCATGATTTCCTCAGCTCTCTATGGTGCAAAGGCCCAGCCCATTTCCTTATTCTGAACTCCTGAAGCTGCTCATCAATCTCCCTTGGAGGCAGACATGGGCCCCAGACCCCACCTCCTCTCTCTCACATCCTCTCCTGTCTGCCCATGACAGCACCTTCTCCCTCACCACTTGAATGGCTTTGTCTCACAGAGGCCTTGACAGTCAGTGTGGACATGTGTCCTTCATGCCAACCTCCTATGCACAGGACTGTGGGCTCTTTGTGTTTCCCACATTCTCCCTGGACCAGCTTCCCCTAGTCAAGCTGTGGCTCTGCTAATCCACAGCCTGATCACAGTGAGCATGCACTCTGCAGTGATGTATACATCAACAAATCTCAAAAAGAAGGTTTAAAACAAGACAGCAGTAGAAGACCAACAGGAACTTTGAAGATAACAATGTGCACTATAACAACCATTGTTGAATTCCTGGAATTTTGGTTTTTAAAATACTGTTATCATTTCTAATGCTTTATCTGTTTTTTAATCTCTTCAAAACAAACAAATAAATGAAAAAGGACCAACAGGAAAAAAGAAAAAACCTTTATAAAGGGCACAAAAGGATTTGGTAGGAGAAAGAAATAGTAAATTAGCTTGTATGTAAGTTTCTTTGACATCTATAATTTCTGTTAGCCAAGGAAAAATTAAAATCTGACTTTAAAAGGTAGAACGCTCTAAGAACTCTTCCTGTAGCAATCCTGCTCCTTCTCTTCTTGGCCATTAGCATTTAGTTGGGTTCCAAATGGCAGGTGAAATGATGTGGCTAAGAAAAACTTCCCTTTGTTTCTATGAAGTCTGAAAGCCATAGATACTAAAAAACTAGGTTTGCAATAACATGCACAATAAGACCTTCAAATTCATAAAAGCAACTTTGTTAAGTGCCTTCATCTCATTTGTGCCTTAAAAAACTTCCAAGAAACAGGGCGGATGTTATCATTTCCATATTATAGGTGAAGGAATTGAAGCAACCAGGAATGAAGTCAATTTGGTTCTTGCTAAATTCTATTGTTGGGTTCTTTTTATTAGAATAAGAGTTGTTGGCTTATTTCACTTTGACAACATGACATAAAGGCTGAGGTAAATTTGTCAATGAGTTGCTTAGAGTTAAACATCTTTTCAGTATTTTAATGAAGAGCGGTTAGGTCATCCACTGTAAGAACAAAAACTGGCCTTCTTTCTCACAGACACTGGCTGCAAAGAAAACGATCCCTGAAAGGCGGATTTATTTGTGGAAATCTGAGAGGTTTCTTTTGATAGACAGCTAAGAGTGATATTTTTATTCTCTTTTTAAAGATTTGGAGCTGTGACATATCCAGGAATTTTTATAACTTTTAAGTGGAAGGCAACTGCGGTAGAAGACGTTCGTAAGTTAAACATTTTAAAGGATAATGCTACGAGAAGAGAAAATAAAACTGTGTTTAAAATCCTTCTCCTAAAGTGGAAGTAGAGACAGGATTAAGTGGGGAACTCCCCCCCACCAATGTCTTAGACCTGTTCCTAGCTTCATAAGCGACTTGGTTTAGAAATAAAAGTTCTTACAGGGTAAGTAAGAGACGGGGGGGGGGGGGGGGGCACATACTCTGAGGAGATACTCGAGTAAAGAAACTTGTTTCTACTGATTTTTTATTGAAGTCCAATTTCTGGTTTTACTTGTAATTATTTGTAAGTGTAATACTCAGGGGATAATCATATGTATGTGCTAATAAAACACATGGGAGAATTTAAAGTAAATATAGTGACATGTTCTAATCGTTCATAGGTTCACCCCAGAGGTATTTATTGAGTTCTGATTGTGTGCTGAGGATGTTCTGGATCCAGGGGTGCCGGAAGCTGCAGACAGCACTGCACAGCACAGAGCAACGCAGCTACAATATTTGCCCTTGTTCTGTTTTTACAATAAATACCTATGCTGATATACGATTATCACACACACACACACACACACACACACACACACACGCACGCACAAACGGACACAGCCCAAAACGCTGATTAAAGCATGAAGAATATTTTCTTATTTTTTGTTTCCTTTTAATAGTCTGGGACAAAAGAGATAGCCATCTTGGGAAATCCTATGTACGCTGCGTGTGTACACAGAAGACATGATAAGTGAACACACAATACAGGAAAAGCCTCTAGAATTCTATGACTAGAAAGTTTCACTAAAATTTTTAAAGGTTTTTTTATTCAAAAACTATTTTCTAACTATGTGCCAGGAACTTGGGTTGGTGCTGAGAGTAGTACAGTCTAGCATCAGAGTTTTTTTTTTAATTTATTTTTGCTTTTTATTTTTTTCAGTGAGCTAGATATCAGATTTTAAAAGAAATTATACCAACTCCTACTGAGGATTATGTCAGAAATTATAAAAAGTGCTGTTGGAAGATATGGTAGGAAACCTAATCATTCAGAAAAGAGTGAAAGCCTACCCCAAGGAAATGATTCCTAAACTCAGGCTGAAGAATGATCACAGTTGGAAAATGGACATGTGCCCAGGCATGGTGGTGCAAGCTTGGTTGTAATTCCAATATTCTGGAGGCTGAGACAGAAGGATCACAATGCCAGCCCAGTCTGGGTGATTGAGTGACTTAGTGAAACTCTGTCTCATAATACAAAATAAAATGATCAGGGCATGCGATGTAGCTCAGTGTGAAGGTCTTGGGTTCAATCTCTAGCACAGCAAGGGTAGATGGGAGCTAGAGAGGACCTGAGGCAGTGAGAGAGAGGGAATGAGAGAAAGAAGGAAAGCAGAGGTGAGGAGTTGGGAGAGCAGGACAGAGTATATCTAAGAAAGGAACAGTATGAGCTGACAAGAGAAGTATCAGCGTTGACCAGTGCAAGAGTGCACTGAGAAACTTAGGTGTGAGCTTAAGAACATAATTTGATTGATAGCTCCAGATACAGTGTGATTTCTTTCTTTCTTTCTTTCTTTCTTTCTTTCTTTCTTTCTTTCTTTCTTTTAGGGAAGGGTCTATAGGGTGTTCAGGGTCTCACTACTAGGTCGGACTTGTAGTGATTCTCCTGTTTACAGCCTTCCAAGATCTGGGATTACAAGCGTGTGGCACCACAACAAATCTCAATTTCCATCTCTGCATGCCCTGGGGATGGGGGCCAGCATGGCAGGCCTGGGGATTGAACCCCCAGCCCCTGTGCCTGCTTGCAGGTGCTTTAATCCACTGAACTATTTGTCCAGCCCTTTACAGTGTGATTTCTGAAAAGACTCAAGAGGCTGTGTAGGAAAAATGTCATGCAGATGCCAAGAAAGGTAGTGGTGTGTCCAGCTGGCTAGGAACTGGGGGAGCGAGGAGAAAGAAGTGAGATAGTTATGCCAAGAAACTGAAGGAGGAGCTCTTATCTCCTCAGGTAAACAGTGCGTGAGTGGGCAGCACAAGCACCGCAGCTCCCAGGTAGAAGACATCTACTGCTTCAGTCACCGCTGGGGGAATGCCACCCTCCCACTTGACCCATGACTGAAATCAGCCTGTGCAGGTGATTCTCATGTCGGAGCACACCGCAGTTGCTGGCAGCAGAGACACCCAGCCCAGGAGCTTTGATAGTTCCACAGCACTTCCAGATGACCAGTCTGGAACAGCTTAGATTGCTTTACCATTCAATGGCGCTGAGTTGTATCAAAAGGGGGGAAAAATCCTATCCTATTAAAGTGAATCAGTCAATGATGTAATTTACTACATCAATGGCAGAAAAGGAGCATTTTTTTAAACAAAAATTTTACTTCCTAACCTTGGTGAATGATGAATGGGTTTCACATACTGAACAAAAAGGCCACGAGAAGAGTGTTTCCAGCATGCTAGAAACGAATTAGATGACAGAAGCAGGAAATGTTTAAAAAACACATCAAAAATTATATTCCAATTACAGCATTCCTGGGATGGATGCTGCAGGTCAGGTTACATATTATACATGTTACAAATTCCTATTTACAATCCCCTGTTTAGATCCACTGGAAGTTTATAGAAATGATTTCCGCTTTTGTACTTCATTTCAGCTGACCAATAAAACTTTTGGATAAAAAAAGAGAAACAACCAATCTCGTTGATTTCCATTTCCATGTGGTAAGAAAAGCAAATAGTTATTGAGAGTTTATGATGTGTGAGTCAGGATGGTAAATGATTTGCACTAATATATAAAATAAAAACAGTACTCCTTTGAGATGCCTTGGCCTTTTCAAAGAAAAATGTGGCTTTACAATTGTAAAATTCCATTTCAAAACATGTGTTATACAAGAAATAACTATCAGCCTGCCTTCTAAGAATGAAGCTCTAAACATGTATCTACTAAAGCATAAAGGGTTCTCCATAAACCACATAGGCACAGTACTAACTTAGTATAAATTTGTTTTTTGCTTGAAGACATTGTTGTCTACATAGGGTGCCTTGTTGCTTTCATGCAGGAGCTGGCAACTGTGACCAAATCCAGCTGGTCACCACAAGGCCTGTGGGCCAACAATGGTTTTCACAACTTTAAGTGGTGAAAAAGTCCAAATAACACCATTTCACAGCACATGAAAATTAGATGATTAAAATTTCCACGGCTGGTCATAAAGTGCTACAGGACTCAGCCATGGCTTTTGGTGTGCTACATGCAGTTGTATTCACGTGACAAGAGCAGAGTCGAGGAGTTGGGAGAGACCATGGTGCCCCATAAACTGAGGATATTTTCCTAGTGTTCACAGAAAAAGTTGACTGGCCTTTGCTTTGAAGCAAAACTAAAAAAAGTTCATTTACCATCATCCAGGTTACTACAGCTAGGGCTTCAAACTTTGAGGTGGAGTGTAGTTGGAATATCTGCTCAGTCTTACTGTATGAAACAGTTTCATGTCATATTTGATGGCAGCACAATACTTAGATTTGGCAGATAATAAATTGGTACTCAACTAGAGTGATTCTCTCCTGGAGACACATGTGGTTGTCAAACTCAGGACTACACGACTGGTATCTAATGGATAGAGACCAAGAATGACAGTTCCCAAGAATTGTCAGTCCTAGAGCCTCCATAGCACTCAGGCCAGAGAGCCTGGTCCACAAAAACAGTTTCCTCTAATTCCTACATAGCTGCTCAACTATGAACTCTGTCCCTACTTGGTGACATTAGTTCCCCTCATGCCATATTTATATTAATATTAATGAGAAGGAAATAAATTTGTTTATTTTATGGGCATATTTTTATGACATCCATCTGTACTGTAATAATTTTCCAACCGAAATAGTCTTATCCTCAATTCTAAGCCTAAATAATAATTCTTTTTAAAAAATTTGGCTTGATTTGCACTACAGTTGATCTGATTCTATTGTATAATCAGTTTCTTCAAATGTCGTCTTGCTAACTCTTAACACCATACAATGAAGTAGAATCCTTCCTATGTCAGAGATGTCACCATGTCAGAGATGTCAGAGTATCAATGTGGGCAAAAGCAATAATGACAGAAGACAGCAGGGAAGAAAGGCAAGACAACAAGCCAAGAACAACTGTGCTACCAACAGTGGTCATGATGTAAACGACCAAGAAAAACAAAAAACAAAAAACAAAAGCTGACAAAATGTTTAGATTTAGTAGACTTTAAATTGAGGTAAATTCTTAAGGCTGCCCTGTAGCCTTTAATCTAATGATAATAATTTACAGACAAATTTTAAATTCTGTCCCGATTGCCTGACGTGCGTTCTCCTACCACTGGAACAACTGAGGCATAGTTGGGACTCTTTTCCACTCCTGCATATAAATGGAGGATCCCGTGTACACACAGGATAAGTGTTTGCATTCCTTGGAAACCACATTACTGGAAACTCTTTAGTTGTATGTTTCTCAGAATTGTTAACATATCATTTTTCTTTCGAAATATTTAAATTTGTAGATAGGATGAGGAGGAATACCATTTTATAAATCAAATGTCAAAATATTCTCTAACCTTACGGTATTATCTCTGACCTGCGCTGTTAAGCTAGTCTGACTCACCTCTTTCAAAATTCCTCATTTTCATAGGAAAGCATATGCTCATTTATACACGGACTCTTTCTTGTTTCACAGAACTGTACCTTTTCTCCTGTGTCACCTTTGGGGCCACCTTCTCCAGCATCTCCCTGAGGAAGAGAAAAAGTGAGATGTATAAAAATTGGCCGGTAATATTAAACAGAGAGTGTTTTTATTAAGTTCCCTTTCACATACACTCTAGATAAAATCAGCCACAACTGTCCTACTGGGCTAACGTCTTTACTTGCACAGCTGCCTGATATCAATACAATTAATTTCATTACAGTGAACATGGCTGAATAGTTCTAAACTCCATAATATGAACAGAAAGCAGTAATGTATCTGCCTGCCTTCTAATAGCTTATATGGACACTTGAGCCTCTTCCCTCTGCATCCTTTCTCCCTTACTCAAGGCTCTTGTAGCAAAGGCTTTCTCCTGAAAACTCCTTCCAGCACCACATTACCTTTGACTTGCCACTTCTGTGTCCCACTTTGTCACCTGGGCTCCCGCTCTGTGTTTTGTCTTCCACTAATATAAATCCCACCTCATCTTCAAACCCATCTCCAGATTCCAGGCCCTTAGAGAGGAGGGCATGCCTCTCAGAGCCTGCCGTCAGTATATTTTTTTATTTGAGCTTATGTAATTTGGATTTGCAAAATGAAAGTTTCATGTTCTGTTAGAAAACTTTTATTTTTTTTATAAGTCATTATGCTTCCTCTGTTATTTGTGAAACTTCCTATACTCATTCTTTCACAGATATCTCCTCTTTCTCCACAAAGGGAAAAAGGTCTTCATCAGTTCTTCATGCTCTGCTTCTTTAAATTCCCAGTTGTTTAATTTAAGCTGTGCTGCATCTTATAGCAGAAATGTCACCGACTTGGGAGGCTCAGAGACAGTGTCTACCTCTGACAATTACTGGCCAAACGTAATTCTCTTTGCATCAAGTTTCCATGTGCATTGCAAGACTGTTTTTTATTTTTCTTAAAAGAAATAAGCACCATACTATTGTAAAGAGCTGAGGGTGGTATCTGACGCACGGGCCCATTCCTGATGGCCATTAGCAATAACAACGCGTTATTGTGCACAGCTGCCTAGGCTGGAATGTGCCTCTAGGAGGTCACTTTTCTAGCATTAAAATAGCTCCTTAAAACAAGAAAGAAGCTTAAGAATTTCTTGAACAAAAAGAAGTGGATGAGGGATATTAGAGACCCTTTCCAGGGTGCCAGTTATCAGGGACCCCTGCAGTGAGTCCCCATTTCCTGCATGGAGTGACAGGGCAGAGGAAGGAAAGAGCCAGAGACAAAATAGGGGTGCAGCAGGGATCTGGGATGATCAACTGTCTGTGGGGAAAAGACAGGGCAATAAGGAAGCTCCAGTTTCCTCCGGTGCCTTATCCTCGTCAGCGGTTCTTACCTCACTCTGTCAGCACCCAGCAGTCCCTAGCCCTAGACCTTCCAGTTGGACCAGAAAAGCTCAGGGAACTTCTGCATTGTGATCTGGCTCCAAGGGCAGGACAAGGACAGCCTTGGACATCCCCGAGATTCAATTTATAACTTGTGCTCCCTGACAGAGGGCGGCTTTCACTTTTTTCTTTTGTTTCAAAAGGTGTGAGGACTAGTTGCTCCGCACCATGCCTGTGACAACGGACGCTCTATGGTGGACCCCGAACGCTGGCAAGTTTTCTCTCATGGCCCCGAGAGAGGTTGGTATTGCTTCTTCCCTTCCTTCAGTTCTGCACAAAGCAGTTACCTGATGACTAATTAATTTCCAGTTAATTACCATGAACTGGTTGGATGGCCAGGGAATATTCTGGTAGTTTATGCTGAAAAAAACTTTGACAGGCAGTTTATTTGCATACTTTTCAAAAAAAAATTTCTTGCAAATTCTTTCATTAGAAAACAAGCCTTCTTATTTCAAAAACTGGCTCAGAGTGGCTTTACAGTGAAGGGTGAGACACAGGCTGTTCATTGACAGAACGGCTTTTCACACCCCTCTATTTTGCTCTTCTTCTATTTAAATAAATGCTCTTTTTCTCTTTACCATGCTGAAAAGTACGGTTATATTGAAGACTTTCAGCTTGGTTTTCAGATGAACTTTTTGATGTAACTAGGGCTTTCATAGCTGATCGTCAGAAGGACCCGATTGTGATGCAGTATCTTGGGATTTTTCTCCTCGGATAGCTCACTTGGATGCTATGAAAGTAAAGCGTGGAAACCAAGAAACCAAACACCCTCCCACCACCACCACACACACACTAGACTAGCAGTGATCAGCCTAGGCACAGAAGGAAGGAATGGAGGCTCAGAAATTGAACATGCAGCACCCTGCTCTCCTTTGGTTTTTCTCTCTGGTTTTTATGGGAATTCTTTGTGGGGCAAGTTTCAAATAATTGTAGCAGGTAAACATCTGTATCCCTTTAACCTGGTGACATAAGAAGCAGTAGAGAGAGGCGTAGGTGCTTAAAAAGGCATTGGAAAGGCATTAGCAAGGAACTAGTTCAGAGATTTTGCAGGCATGGGGATTTTCAAAAGCCATTTAGAAGTCCAGTACAGATGTTTAAATTTGTTTCCTGTCTCTCCATTTTTGTAAATCTTTTCACGCAAGCTTTTGTCTATATAAAAGAATTGTATGATTTTCTTCTGACACTAATTAACAGTTTGAGAAAGAAGCAAATGACAAAGTCATTACTTGTATTTCCATGTTTATTTATTATATTTATCTGCCTGCCTGTCTGTCCGTCTACCCATCCATCCCTCCCTCTCATCCAGTTCAGTCTGGACAGCTCTTTATGGGGGAAAATACAGACAGAATCATTCTTACCTTTTCTCCTTGTTTTCCAGGTTCTCCCTGAGCAAAAAAACCCCCAAAAAACAAAACAGAGCTTGAATAACATTAAATTATAAAACCTCTGATTAACCAACAGTAAAGAAACCAGATATCAAAATATATTAAATTAATTATGTTGACACCTTCTGTTTTGGCTTATATACTTTATGTAAGAAAACAAGTAGTAAGATGAGTTTTCTGAAGGAATATGGGTGTCAATAGTGAATGTAATTTTAATTCTGTGCTTTACACACAAATAAAGACAGGCAGGTTATTTCAAGATGACCATTTAAGAATGTACCAGATGACTAAGAAGAGAGGAAGAGTATGCCCATCGGATAACTAACTGGAGAAGCTTCTTTTCGGTTGTGTTTTATCTGTTGAAATTCAGAATCAATGTGTAGATCAGTGTGTCCTTGCCCAGAGCCTTCCATTCAAAGTAGCCCCTGGAGCGGGAACTGCTTAGGGTCTGGGGTTCCAGTGTATTTTCCAACCTGTTTTTCTCTAAAAAGATCAGGAACCTCCAGTTCTGAACTCACACCTCTTTCCACTGCCTCTATCTCTTACCCAGCAGCAGGCTGCAGATCCCATGTGCTTAGGGGGACACAGATTCCATCACAAAAGACACCAGAAGGGTGCATAATTTCAGGGAGCTTAGGGAAGATGTCTGTATTCTAAATAATAACAGGCAAGCATGCGTAAAGGCAAACCGTGTTCTGAAAAAAAATTTCATAATTATCACTTTATCCTGGAAAAATGGTAGAGTAGAACAGTTCTAAAGAACATCATACCCATTATATTTTCCAATGCAAAGCTTTAGTAGGTATTGCTATGAACTCAGACAGCTTAGAAAACATGGTATTAGGTGTGTGTGTGTGTGTGTGCGCGCACATATGTTTGTTTTAATTTATAACCCACTCAAGAAGTTGGGTTGGAGGTAAAGTCCTTTTATTCTCTGGAACTCAACCTGACCCTTTGGCTTTCTGAATTTCTGGCCACTTCCACTGTCCAACATCTGTCTGGATAATCAGGTTGCTAGGCAACATAGGGACAGCATTGTGAATATGCATTAAGCATTAGCTCTCATCATAAGACTTTTTTGCGTGGAGCAAGAGAGAGAAGACAGGAAAAGGGCTGTGTTGTCCCAGAAGGGACATTTTCTTTGCCTTCCTGCAGGACAAAGGACAGGTCTATAAATCTGAGGTCTGTCTTCGGTACCTGTCAATAACACTGTGATCTATAAAATCAGCTGACAGGCATCTGCAGGGACAGATATGCACCAGCACAGCTGATGGGATTAGACATTAGTTCTGTACTTTAAGGGATCTGTGCTCATCAAAGGATTTGGGATTTGTTTGCCTGTTTAGTTTAAACTAGACTGTCACCAATCTTTTATATTTAACAGATTCATTTGTTTTGAGAAACAAAGAAAATGTACCATCCCAAAAAAAAAAAAAATCCTCATTACATTTTTTCCCCATGTAGTAATTCAGACTACATCCATTTTTAAATTTTAAACATGCCACATCTTTCTTTGCTCTTCATCTGATTAAGTGCTTGTGTTGTATACAGGCTGAAGGTGGCCAAGTCTCAAGGAAAAGACGCAGTGGTACTGGGAATATCTCCTTTCCTCAGGCTCCTCACTGTGAATGTGTACATGCTAGGTGGGGTGGAAGCGACCTATGTTTTCATATGCTCATGAACGGGTAAAATGACAGTCATATTTGAAAGATTTTAGGCAAGCATACCTTATTTTTTTTTTTTTAACATTTTAGTGCTAACTAAATCACAAAGTTATGAAGTTTTATTCTGTAGAATGCTTCACATTTGACAAAAAATTCAACCAAAGTACAACTGGTGTAATAGTAAAAAATCATGATAGCTTTTGAAGGCCATGTGCTCAAGGATCTGCTTGGCTTCAGTGCACTAACCTTCGGTCCAGGGGCCCCGTCCTGTCCTTCCACTCCAGGCAACCCAGGCTCACCCTCAAAATGAAAAAAATAGATGTCACTAAGTCAAAAGACAATGCTAGCATGTTGTGTAGACAAGACAATAATCACCCAATAATGCTCTAAAAATAGACAGAATAAGTGCTTTTTAGTGAAAATACCAGTTAGTTTGTAAGGTCCAAAATTCAATGTGCTAGAGAAAAGAACATATAATAAGATTAATCTCATTTGTTGAGTTTATTCAACAAAAAAGCTGACTTATCAATGGTCATATTTAGCATGGTGTTGGGTATATTGTAGACATCAAATAAGTATTAACTGAAGGAATAAAAGGCACCTGAAAAATACAAGACTGTCTTGATTAAGAATTTTTAAGTGACACATCAGCTAAGGAAAATAAAGACTAGTTCATTGTATTTTTATATTTGATCTAATGCAATGAATATTTATACATCTAATTCTTGAAAAGCATACACTTTTCTGAACACCTACTTGTTAGACACATTCAACTCAAAAGTAAGAAGTAAAAATGACTTACTTTCCATTCACTGCAAAAAAAAAAAAAAAAAAAAAAAAAAAAAAGAACAGAATAAAGTTTCCACGCTTGTGGCTCTCATTGTTATATTGAGTGACAGCCTTTTGGGGGTGGGCGGGGGGAAGACAGTGGCAATTACGCTAGAAAAAGTTCCCATTTCAGAACGATGATCTCTACTCCTCTTTTTGGACTCTGAACCAAAAATCATTTTCCAAAGAAGGAAAAAGAAGTACCTTGAAGAGTCCAGGCACAAAAGGAGATTCTAGTTCCTTTATAGTTTCATACGGTTCAAACTTACATCCCCCAGAAGTCCATTTTCACCTCAAAAACATCCCTGAAGCCTTTCCAACTGCTGGAAAACTTTCTTCTTTCCACTGAGAACAATAAAATTGCTTCTTAGTTGATTTTTAAACTAATATATATGTATTATATGATATATATGATATATATTAATATATATATATCATATATATGTGGCTGTTGTTGTTTTAACAAGAGTTTTAGGTTGACTGAAAACTCAGATGATTTTGAAGGCTGTTTTCCAAGTCACCCAAAGGGCAAGACTGGCTCAGTTCTATGTCTGTGTTCTCGGCTTCAAAGTCATGTACATTAATAATGTAGTAACACCTCCTAGGTGCCAACGTCTTCGCCTTTCTTAAGTCAATTATGTAAGCCTGAAGGAGGAAAGTACTATTTTTAATGATTTTACAGCTAAAGACACTAAGGCACAGAGAACTACTTTGTCCAGATTTACACAGATTCTCAACATTTGGATGCCTATGACCTGGCTGAAGAGATTGCGCTCTTCACACTGGCTACTAAGGAGCAGCAGTGCCTAGAAACAGACAGAAAAGATGAATATTTCAGGGCTCAGAACCACTTGCTTCCTAAGTCTCACTGATAAATGACATTCCAGAATGCATAGAAACCTGAATTAAATGTAAGTTATGTAATGATCGTTTATGATAGATCAACCAAGTAAAGTAAGTCATAAGGAGCTTGCAGTATTTTTCTAGAACAGTAAAAGGCGTCTTGCTCCTCAGATGCATTATTACAATTGCTAAAGTACTAACCTCTTGGAAAAGATCCTGCTTCCTGCATAAAAATCACACTGTAATTTCAACTCTTGCACTTTCCTTGGTAAAAATCACAAAATTCTTGACCTAGAATAATGATGGCCATTGTGGGAAAATGTTGCTCTGTCATTTGTACCTAACAGAAGTATGAACTTGGAAATCGAATGCACCCTGAAAGGAGGTATCATTTACTCTGTGAGTGGAACAAGAGCTACTGAGTCTACTTTCTTTTAAGTGCCCACGACAGGATGCACTAATATTGTAACTCATGGTTTAATACAAAGACAGGACACAGCTAGGGAACAGGATGAACATTGTTTAGACTTTCAAAGAATAACGATGATTGCCAGAGTTATTAGTTTTTTTGAAGGTTAAGCGCCTGGAACCGGACACAACTCATGCTGAAAGTTGAAGCAGGGAAGAGAAATACTGTTTAGGTATCTGCTCAACATTGTGGGACTAAAATTTGCTCTCTTTTTCTTTTTGACTTTATGTATCGCTAAAATAATCTTTAATGTGAAATTTTAAAAACAGGCTCATGTCATCACTCTAGATATTTCCTTGCATCTTTTATTCTTACATATCTTCAAGAAATTGTAAGCTTATTATATAGTTTGACATTTTGATTTTTAATTTTTACATCATTTGTTTTTACATGCTATTCATCACTGTCATGTGAATAGTTTCATTTTTCCTCTATCAAAATGAGTGATCAATGTGATCACTTAGTCTCATGTAATAGGATACGCATAATAAATACATAATAACTGAAGGAAGCATTGAATTGAGATTGTGAGACTTTTTTTGTGCAGAGTCTCACTATGCAGCTCCAACTTGTAGGGATCCTCCTGGTTTCTGGCTCCCTAGAAGCCACTATACCTAGACTCCCCTCACCAGCTCAGCATGCCCGGGGGTGGGGCCAGCGCAGCATGCAGTGCTAGGGATGAAATCCTGGCCCCTGTGCTTACCTAAGCAAGTGCTTAGTCCACTGAGCTATACCACCGGCCCTCAGATTATGAGACTTTCTAAACAAACTTTTCTGGAACTTTATGAAGGAATATAAATAAATAAAAACCACAGTCTTAATGAAGAATGATATATCATATAGTGTGTATTCCTATATGTTCTAATATATGAAGACAAAAAGGCCTCCTCCGACAAGGTCCCAGTGATATCACGTGGCTACATAACAGCGAAGCATGCCCAGTATCAGAAAGGCAAAGCAAAGTCCAGGAATCAGGTTGTGTGTGGGAAGGAAGCAACTCTCATGTTTCTTAGAAAACCAAGCCTGCTATTCTGAATGCACTTCATATTTATAAATGCTGAGGACATTCCGCACATGGTAATAAAGGAAAACAGCAGGTAACGTCCTAACCTCAGGTAGACGGATGGGCTTTTCTCTACCATACATTAAATTTTAAGGCTATTCCTGGTCTATTACTCCCAAATGACCATTTCCATATTTAAGCTGAAAGTAAGTTGGACTGACTTGTAAGAAAGATGGCTGGCTGCCTTCATTTTTTTTTAAAAAAAAACAAATATTCTATAATACAAAACATCACTCTCAGGACTTTTACAATTATTTCAAGTACTGTGATTCAGGGCAGCCTGAAAGAATACTCCTCGATAGAAAGGAATGCAGTTCTCTCATAAAGATTGAGCGCTCACGGGAAATAGGTCACTTAGCAGTCGTACCGCTTGCCACTGCTCAGTCACAATAGGTTTGCATTCTGTCCCCGGCAGTTTAGAACAAGTCATAGTGTTGCATTTGTAGACTAATATAATTTTACATTCATCTTGTCAAAGTGGATTTCTTTCCAGTAATGCATTTGAAGAAAGAACTCATCCAAACAGAAGAGGAGCGTGGCTTCAAGGCCCCGGATGGAGAGGGTGGCCAGGCCTGGCGTTCCTGGGCTTCAGCTACAGTAGTCTTTTCCAGTTGGTCCCCAACCAGTTCAGGTAAGCCAATTGGCTCTTTGTCCCTCACCTCAAGAGCTTCATTTCCTGCAGTCAACCCAAGCCCCAAGGACCAATCCTCAAGAGCACAACCAAGGCAGGCTGTGGCATCTGCCTGGCTCCTCTTTTCCTCCCTGGCAGCAGCCTATGCTGGGAGTTCAGCCTCTGTGTGGGGAGCAGCCCAGCCCTTCCTGCTCCTTCCTTTTCTTTTTCATCTCGTGAGGCAGAGGAAGCTTTGTAACATGGTGAAAAAGAAACAGGAAACCCTTTGGCCTGGACCGCTACGGTGGGTTGCACTTCAGAGAAATGGCCTTGCTCCCCCAAAGGAGACTCTGTTCACCCAAGTGACATGACAAGGGTCTGTCCATCCCTTGTTACACTAGAAGGTGTGCTGACATACACTATTTCAGACAGTCTGGGGTTACACTCAGTAATAATTAAGTTAAACTTAGTAACCAAGGCTTTGGTGTGCCTTCTAAAACACTACAAGTGCTTGAAACTTTGCCTTAAAACATGATTGTTCTATAAATAAATTCACAGGATGAATTCATTTTAGAACCAAGTCCTTTGGCTGACACTTGTTGTTAGGCTTTGGTACACAGCAGACAGGAATCACACAGAATTTGAGGAAAGGAATTGAAATGTGGCGAAAAACCTAAGTCTTCGGGGTAGGCTCAGAAGAACTAACATTGAGTTTTTCTGGGAGAACCAGGGTGAAACACAAAGGCTGAGGAGCAGTGTGTGGGGTTGCATGGGGCCGGGCCCACCCTGAATCCCCTCCTCCCCCAGTGCAGTGCTGTGGGAGCTATGGGGACTGTGGCCCTTGGGTTAGGGGCACACAGCTGCAGTGTGGCCCACACTTGGGGATTTGAACTGGGCAAGGGCTCAGGACAGGCACTGACATGGAGGGGGCAACTGAGGCATAGCTCCTGATTCCTGTGGGTCTGGGCCAGGATAGGGTCACAGAGGACAGACTGTGACAGCCAGGTGTTCCTTGGGAGGCCTAAGTGAGGGCAGACAGCCTGCTTGGAGATGGAGGTATGGGGCAGTGCATTCTTTTTAGATGACTGGAAGGTGCAAGGCGAGCCCAGTCTGCTGTGGAGTGCAGGGCCACACAGGACCCTTCTGTATGTCTAAAAATCACCTCTTAGGGAGGAAAGGGCTTCAAACAGAAGCTCAGGATTTAGGAGGACAAAGATCAAGACAGCAGGAGGCAGCTATGTGAAGTATTTCTGAGGAACAGGAAGAGTCAGCCCCACTACAATTGTCCAGCACCCCAGTGTCATCCGAATCTCCCCTAAAACAGGCTTTGGTGTTTATTGCTGCTTTGGAATGAACAGGGCCTGCTGCAAGTTTCAGTAATAGCACAGAATTAGCCATTGTCCTTCCCTAGCAAGGGGATGGAGGACTCACCTGAATCTCTGAGCCTCCCTCCCATCCCAAAGGTGCTCAGAAGTGTAGGTGGATGT